GAAGGTACATTCTGCCCATTCTGCTGTGGCGCAGCGAGCTCTGCCTGTGCTTTGTGCCCTGCAGCTTGTTCCAGCTGTCTCTGCAGGCAGGAAGGGAATAAATTAACTTGCAGAACTGGAAACCATTTGTTATGGTGAACGAACAGCTCGGTTGTCAGCGCTGCTCTGAAGGGTGCAGGAACTGCTGAGCTGTGGTTGGAAAAGCACAGCAGAAGAGCACTGGAGCAGAACCACACCCCACTGCTGGTTTTGGGGCCCCTCGGTGACCCCTTGCAGGCTGGGTGTGTTCTGCAGCACTTCTGCAGCACAGGAGCTCAGAGAAAACCTTAATGGCCTGGGAAGGAGCAGCCTCAGCTCTGACTCTTCCTCCCACTGCAATCCCACCCCCCTTATTCACTCCCAGTATCCAAAGGCACCATCCCTGCCTCGGGAACCACCCTGGGCACAGGGAAAGCTCGGCCTCCCGAGCAGAGAGCACCCCATGGGCTGCACCAGCTGTCAGCACCACACCACAGCTTGTGAAAGAGCCTTTCCCTGCTGGCAGCAGCCTCTCCTTGCACAGCTCACCCTGCCCTGCCTGCACGCTGCCCTCCCAGCTGCACGGTGACAGGGAAACCTCTGCTGGCACCGAGGGACACACGCAGACGTGCAGAGTGTCACAGCAACGCCCCTCCCCGCCTGAACGGGCAGGCAGGAAGCCACAAGCCCTGGAGGCTCCCCCGGGGCTGGGTTTTACCTTTCCCAGTTGGTGGGGGCCATCCACAGTCTTCCCATCGTCGTCGGGACCCCAGCTGCAGAGAGAGACACGGTGAGGTGACAGCCCCAGGAGCCACAGGCGGCTCTTTGTGCCACCACAGCGAGCTCCCAGCAGCCCCCAGCTGCTCCCAGCACCACGACTGGGACCGCAGAGCACTGCACTTTCCCACCCATCAGGATGGCCCCTCGATGCTGGGACAGCGCTGTCGTGCCTGCTCTGTGCCCCTGGGTCAGATTCCAGCGGACAAAATGTTTGATTTTTACTTAACAAGCGGCTTCTCACACATTCCAGTCCCTGTCACATGGGCTGCCTGACCGCAGAGGGGAGCACAGTGCCCCCTCCAGCACAGCCAGCCCAGGGGACGTGCTGCAGCAGCACACAGAGGGACACCTCACAACTGCAGCTCCTATGCAGAGCCTGGGACAGGTCTCCAGCAACGGGATTTTGGTGCCTCAAGGCTAACCACAGCCACAGGAGGATGGGAGCTGGTGTGAGCACTCAGCCAGGAGCTGTGACCCCGTCCCCAGGCAGAGCAGGGCTGGCAGCTGGCAGGCAGCTCAGGCTCCCCTGGGGGCTCACCTGCAGCTGTAGATGTCATTGATCTGATAGTGCTTGTTGAAGGCGACGGCCTCCATGCTGTCCGTGAGGGGCCCGTCCAGCACGCGGATGCCTGCAGGACAGAGGACAAGGAATGTGAGGAACACGGGCTGCAAATGAACTCCTGGCTCGAGGCTGCCCCGCTGTGCTCACTCTGCAAGGCCAGCCCAGCTTTGGAGGCTGAGGCAGTGCCAGGTCCTGCTGGATCCGGGGCAAACCCTCCTGTTCCCTGAGCTGTGGGGACATGATGAGCTCATCCCTGCTTCTGCCAGCTGGGAGCCTCTGCCTGCTGCCCCCTGGGCAAGCCCTGACCACCCCTGGCACCCCGGTGTGACCAGGTATGGACAGAGTGGTGTCCCAGCATGGCTGTCCCCTGCCCTGCCAGGGACACATCCTGCAGGGCACAGAGACCTCGCCTCCCTCTGCAGAGCAGCTCAGGAGCTCTGCAGGCAGCTGGGGCACGGCACACGTTCCCTGGCCTTGCAGGGGAGAGACACAGCACTGCCTCTTCACCCTTGTCCATGCCACAGGGCAAAGCTGAGACCAGGGGCCAGGGCAGTGAGAGGGGCTGGCCAGGATCTGCTGCCCCAGCCCGGGCGTGTCGTGGCACAACTGCCTGGCTCAGCCAGCACGGCACAGCCGCTCTGCCAAAAGCCTGGCAGCCAGGCAGGCCAGGAACACTCTGGAAAAGCTGCCAGGAGCCGGCTCCTCTGGAGAGGAGCTCCGGCAGGCACCAGGCCCTCCCTGCAGCAGCCCAACGAGCCCGAGCACGGCAGAGGTGACTCGGCTGAGAGGGGAGGCAGGCTGGGGCTGCCTGGCTGCTGACCTACCCGCGATGCGGCTGCCGTAGGCGACTCCCACCGTGCAGAAGCTGTTGTTGGGCACAGCCGCGATCTCCCCGGCGCAGCGGGTCCCGTGGTGGTTCCCGTTCTCCTCGTCGGGGTGAGGCATAGGGTCAGGGTCGTTGGAGTTCAGGTCATAGCTGCCTTCTGGGCTCTGGAAACACACCCACGGTCAGGAATGGGGCTCTGCGCTCCTCAGTTTGGGAAAAGCAGGAGTTAAGAGAAGGGAACACGGGCTGAAACACAGGCTGGACACCACGGGAACTCGGAGGCTGCTGCTCAACACTGCTATCTGCCGCTGTGGGGAAGGGAGCAACCAAGGCAGCTCCAGGCACTGCTGCGGCTCAGAGGGATGCCAGCTGCCTCCCACGGGTTGCACAAAGGCAGGTAACCCCAAAACCCTGGGTGCAGAACCTCCCAGGAAAGGTTTGCTGCTGGCACTTTCCACCCTGGCCGAGGCAAGGTGACGGGGCGGGCTGGACTCTGAGCTCTCACATGCTCCTGTCACACTGCCCGGCCTCCAGCCTGCACAGGCACTCACATAGTTTGGCTGGATGTCCTTGATGGTGTGCTCCACGCCGTCGTCCACCACCACCACCGTCACCCCGCGCCCCGTCACGTTCCGCTCCCACACGCCCGTGACGTTGATGTCCTTCCCGGGGCTCTTGCGGTTGTTCTAAGCACCAGAAAGGACAGCGAGGGGACATGGTCAGCTCCGAGGGGACCTCCTGGGTGCACTGGACATGACGTGTGGGGCTGGGGCCAGCACGGGAAGGACCCACAGGACAGTCAGGGGGGATTAATTGAGGCTGACAACGAGCAACAGTTGCTGGAGCCATGACGTGGAGGGCACAGCGTGCTCCAGCCAAAGCCCTCTGCCCACCCCAGTGCACAACCAGCTGCTTCCTCCCGTTATCGCAGCGAGCACGTGGCAGGCAGGGCGAGCTCTCAGCGAGCTCCCTCCTCACCGAAGAACAGAAAGAGGCTGCTGTGCCTCCTGCATGACAGCTCGCCCGTGCCCACACAGGCAGCCCTGTGAGCACAGCAGGAGCCGGGAAACCACTCACCAGATGCCACTGCTGGGGGTATTTGGGATCGTTAAAGTGCAGGCTGCGCTTGGAGCGCTTCAGAAGCTTCTGTTCCGAGTGCCACCGCACGCTGTCGTGCTGTGCAAACAAAGTGTCCACGGATCTCCTCACGGCTTCGTGTTCGGCGGCCGCGTGGCCGTCGGGCTGGTAGGCAAAGAGGTAATGGCCCCTGAGCTCCCCGACACGGCCCATGTTCACCAGCCCCGCAGTCCGCGCCAGCTCCTCTGCCCGCTGCTCCAGCTCCTCCTCGGGTGCATCCAAGCTGACCGCCCAGGTCAGCCTCCCGTGGCTGCCCTCAGTGTCCGGAGCGCGCTGCCCGCCGCAGGCCGGGCCGGCCGGCGAGGCCAGGGGGATCCAGGAGGCGCTCAGCCAAAGGCACGTGTGGATGCAGAGCGTGGCCTCCATCCCCGCGCTCCATAGCGGCGCTCCCCGCCTCCAATGCGGCATCAGACAGGCGGGCTGCAACAGCAGACGAGAAACCGGTGAGAGAGAACCCCTCCTGCTGAGGGACACGGTGGCCAGGGCCACCTGAAGGTCCCACAGAGCCCGAGGGGGCTTGCCACCAACGCGCTGCATGGCAGATCCCATTCCTGGGAAACCCCAGCCGCGGCGGCTCCATCCCAGCGGTTCGGAACGGGAGGCACACCCAGGCTGGGCAGGGATCGATCCCAGCCCTGCCCTGCCTGCTGGGTGCCAGCCCCGGGCCAGGAAACACCGAGCTGGGCTGGCAGCAGGAGCCACTTCCCCCTCTCGCCTCTGATAAGGAACTGATAAGAAACTCTTGATGCGTGGCTCCCCAGCACAAACACCACGGCACCGAGAGCCGCTTCCTCTTCTGCAGGAGCCCCACGGAACTGGTTCCTCACCTGCCCCACGGCCGGAGGAACCTGCTTTTCCCTGGCACGGGCAGAAATCACCACCGAGCCCCGGTTCACCCCGCGGTCCATAACCCACGGCACCGCAGAGCGGGGAAAGCGCCTCCGAGCTCCCGCTGCCTCGGACGCGCCCGGAGCTCCACAGCCCCGGCCCCTTCTCCTCCCCCGACCCGGTCATTCCCCTCCGGCACAACTCATCAGCCGCCGCTGCCGCCGGACACCGAGCTCCAGGTTTCCCTCCCTAAAAGTCGGGCTTTAAGCGCCCCTCGGTGCCCCCCGGCAGCGGCACCGCGCAGCGCCCCGGGGCACCGCGGCGCTCCGCCGGGCACCAGCACCGGGGACACGGCGGAGGTCACCCACGGGCAGAGCCGCCCCGCTGCCCTCCGCCAGCCCCGCCTGGACCCGCGGGGAGCCCCCGGCAGCGCGGGCTGGGAAGTCTCTCCCAGGTGCCGCGGAGGCGCAGGTCGACGGCCCCGACCCGCCGCGCCTCTGCGAGCCCGGCCCCGCCGCGCCGCCCGGCAGGTAAGGGGGGGCCCGGCGGGGCGGCAGCGGGGATGGAGCGGGGATGGAGCGGGGATGGAGCGGCAGTGCGGCCGCGGCGCAGCGCTGACCGATGTCCCCGTTGCGCGCAGCGGCAGCCCGCTCTCCGGCCCGGAGAGCCCCGGGCAGCCCGGGCCCGGCGGGGAGGCGGACCCCGCGGCCGCCCCCGGCCCCGGCGGCGATGCGGAGCCCGGCGGCGCCGAGGCGGCAGGGCAGAGCGGAGCGGCGGCCGAGGAGCCCGACGAGGAGGCGGCCCCGGGCAGGCCGTCGCAGAACATCGCGGTGCAGGTGGGTGCAGCTCCCCCGGGGATCGCGGGGTGTGTGCTCTGCAAGGCTCCTGTGGAAGCTGGAGGACAAAGAACTGAGTAAGCCGTGGCCGGAGGGTGAAACGCATCTGTACTTGCAGCTTTGCAGCCGCTGCTGTGTGCCCGTGCTTGAATTTTAATTAATCTTTAATTAAAATTTGACCCTAATGAGGCCACAGCTGGAGCGGTGTGTTCAGGACTGGCTCGGCAGTATAAGAAGGACAAGGAGCTACTGAAGAAGGGTGCAGCTGTGAAGATGATGAAGGGTTTGGAGCATCTCTCTTATAAGGAGAGACTGCAGGAGCTGGGCCTGGTTGCTCTGGATAAGTCTGAGGGGTATCCCATTAATGCATGTAAATGTCCCCGGGGGTGTCAGAGGATGGTGCCAGCTTCTTTTTGTTGGTGCCCAGCTGTAGGATGAGGAACAAATGGCCATAAACTAAAATAAGTTTCATCACAATATGACAGAGAACTCCTTTCTGTGGAGGGTGGCAGAGCACTGGAGCAGGTGCCCAGGGAGGGCCTGGAGTCCCTCTCTGGTCACTGCAGGGGCTGATCTCAGTCGTGTCCCTTCACAGACCGACTTCAAGGCGGCCGATGCGGACGTGAGCACGGACCAGGACATCGAGAAGAACCTGGTGGGTATGGAGGCCCTGTGCTCCGGCTCTGCCGCTCGCACTCCGGGCGCAGGAGCTGTTCTTCCCACTTTATTCCTGTCAAAACAGAATCACGGAATCATTCCAGCTGGAAAAGGCCAAGACCATCAGATGTCAGCCTTGAGGTCTTGTTACAGGCTGTCCTTGCTACAGAGGAGTTTTGCTCTCCCCTGCAGGACAAGATGATGTCCGAGCGGGCTTTGCTGAAGGAGCGCTACCAGGAGGTGCTGGACAAACAGAGGCAGGTGGAGAATCAGCTGCAGGTCCAGCTTAAGCAGCTCCAGCAGCGGAGGGAAGAGGAGATGAAAAACCACCAGGTATTTGGTGAAGAATTATTTTTGTTTAACTTGCACTGTAATTAATTTTGAAGTCTTTATGAGGAGGTAGGAGAACCTGCAGTGCAGGGCATCAATCTCCTGAGTTTCCTCATAATAACCAGTTTATATCTTGACTGGATCTGCTAAAAAGAAAGAATTTGCTGTCTAATCTCATTAATTAATTAATTAAAAAATAATATATTTTAAATCAAAATCATACTTGGTAATTTTGCTCTGTATCTGTGTGATGCTTCTTTTACTCCAGGAGATCCTGAAAGCCATTCAGGATGTTACGATCAAGCGAGAAGAGACTAAGAAAAAGATGGAGAAAGAAAAGAAAGAATTCCTGCAGAAAGAGCAGGATCTCAAAGCTGAAATTGAGAAACTCTGTGAGAAAGGCAGAAGGTATTTGTACAGAAAAGAAAGTGTTTCTTTTTGGGGAAGAAGATCTTGCTTAACCGTGATACAAACCTGATGGAGTAAGGAGCTTTAAACTTTTAGGAAGCAGCAAGCATTGAGGTCAGACCTGTGTATGGATGAATTTAGGATAGGCCCTATATTTGAATTGGCATTTTTATGGAGCCATTCTGTCATGTCCTAGAGGTCTGGTTTTTATTCTGAGGGCTCAGTGGTGTTTTTGGGTAAAACTCCTCCAGTGATGGCTCGAGGTGCTCAGCCCTTTTCCCCCAAGTGACCGTGGCAGAGCACGGGCTGGGGGAGCAGCACAGCTGCCTGCAGCCAGCCTGGTTCTGTGCCACAGCCTTTGTGCAGTGCCCTGAGACAGCAGGGCACTGTCCCATGTGCTCCAGGGGTTGGTGGTGGCTCTTTTCCCACACACACTGCAGGGAGCCATCCCCAGCCCGTGGTGTGGGGCTGGCCCTGGGGGTGTTTGAATGTGGGCCCTGCTCCCTTGGGATTCCAGCTGTGCTGTCCCTTTCCTCTCGTGCAGGTTGCTGAAGGAGCAGGAGGAGAAGGAAAACAAGATTGCCTCTCTGATTGCAGAGCAGTCTGATGAGAAGTAAGGCTCTTTTCCCTCACCTGATTAGTGCTGCCCAGGGCACTGTGCCTTCTTGTCATTCTGCCTCAGAGGGAATCCCATGCTCTTGGTTGGGACAGAGCAGAGACAATGAGCCAGCAGTGCTGGCCAGTTACGTGCCCTGGAGGTTTTATCTCCTCTTTCAGCATCAGGGCTCTGGATTAAATCTTCCTTGATCCCAGTCACAAGCAGACTCCTGGGTACTTGTGACATAAAGATCCCATAAGATTAGGGTTTGTGCCTGGTGGATTGACTCAGCTTGTAACTGCTACTTCTGATTGCATTTCACCTCCCCAGAATTAGGGCAGACTGATTTCCCTGTCTGTTCCCCACAGCTGTCCAGCTACACTGAACTCTGGCATGCTCGGGTATTTAAAGGTGGGCAGGGATGCTCCAGGTGTTCCCAAAGCACAGCTGGAAATGCCCAGCTTTAAACTTCTCCAGGATCAGAACAGCATAGCTCTGCCTGCTGCTCAGGTTGATTCCTGGTTCAGACCTCCCTGGGATTGGGCTGAATTTTGCTGAGGGTGATTCCCCTCGTTGGCCTTTGCACAATGCTTGTTTGTGTGCTGTGGAACAGCTCACTGCTGGGACAGTGACTCACACAGCCCAGGGAGCTGGGGATGGTGTCACTGCCATGGTTCCAGCCCATCCAGAGCTCCTGGGACCCATCCTTTGGGACCATTCCAGTGCCTGAGGGGGCTCGTTCTGCTCTGCTGTGTTCTGTGTGCAGGCAGCTGTGGGAGATGGAGCTGGACAAGCTGAAGAACCAGCACAACGAAATCAACAGGAACATTCTTGAGGAGACAGAGCGGGCCTGGAAAGCAGAGGTGAGCAGGTGACTCCCTCCCTGCAAAGTGGTTGGTTTGAGATTCCAGCTGGGTAATGGGCAGTGCTGTGAAATTAGGAGCAAGGCCAAGTGCCACTGTGTGGGATGAGAGGAAAGATGAGCACGTGTCAGTGCAGTGAGCGTTAGCAGGGAGCCGTGCCCAGCGCCTGGTCTGGCAGCAAGAAATGGGAGTACAAAAACTGAGCCTCTCTCCATAGATCCTGTCCCTGGAGAGCCGCAAGGAGCTGCTGGTGCTGAAACTAGAAGAAGCAGAAAAAGAAGCAGAGCTACACCTCACCTACCTCAAGTAAGTCTGTGTTGTGTCAGAAGCAGCAGGGAGGGTCACTCAGGTGTCCCCGTGTCCCATCTCCTCTTCCTCTGCTTACGTTGGACTGGAATAGTTCAGGATTTCCTGTGGTTTTCTTACTGGATCAGTGGGATTCCATAATGTCTCACAGCAAGGGGATGTGGGGCTGTGCTTATCCCCTGTCACTGTTCATCTGCCAGGCTCAGCCTGTTGGTGCTGTTGGCTGTGGTGTCCCTGTGTGTCCCCCAGGTCAGTCCCTGTCCCTTGTGGGGTGCCTCACCTGGGGGTGAGCCTTTCCCACCCCGCTGGAGGAGGGGAAGCCAGGAGGGTGTGGGGGTTGCTTGGTGCCACTTTGCAGGCAGTGAGAGCACAGTTGCAAGTGGGAAAGTTCAGCTGTGCTTGCAGGTCTGCGCCGCCCACGCTGGAGACCATGAGGCCAAAGCAGGAGTGGGAGATGAGGCTGAACAGGATACGTATGACCAAGCAAAGTGTCCGAGTAAGTTCCTGCTGACCTCTCCCAGCCTAGCAGTGAGCAGCTCTTCACACACACACACAGTGAGCAGCTCTTCACACACACACACACACACACAGAGTGAGCAGCTCTTCACACACACACTCCCTTCAGCTCCTCTCCATTCTTCTGTGGAGCCAAACAGTGCCACTTTAGGGCCTGCCACCCCCCGGCTTAGAACGCCCCAAACTTGCTCAGGTTTGATAAATGCACTCATTTTCTTCCCTCTGTGCTAGGATCAGTTCAACGACCACATCCAGATGGTGAGGAATGGCACGAAGCTGAGCAGCCTCCCCCAGATCCCCACGCCGACGCTGCCTCCTCCGCCTTCGGAAGTGAGTGCCTCTCCAGCCCCACAGCACCCCTGGCACAGCCTGCCTGCTGCTGGCCATGTGTGGGATGGCCCATTCCCTGCCTGGGCTTACCAGAGAGGCGGGGAAGGGTTGCCTTCCCTTCCCTTTCCAGCTGCCAGTGCCTGCAGTTGCCACCCCGCTGCCTGGAGAAGAGGCCACTGGGCCCTGCTTCCAGGTGGTCTTACTCTAACCAGCCTTTCCCTCCTGCCCTGCTTTTCTTTCTCAGACAGATTTCATGCTGACGGCATTCCAGCCCAGCCCATCCCTGACCCCCCGGCTCCCCTTCCCCATCGGGCCTGTCCCCGTGCCCATGGTGATGCCCAGCGCCGACCCCCGGGCGCTCTCCTTCCCCCTGCTGAACCCCGCCATGTCCAGGCCCAACCAGCCCTCCCCACCCCTGCCGCAGTCCCAGGGGAGGAGCAGCCCGGTGGTGGCGTCGCTCCTGGGCACGCACAGCCCCCACATGCCCCCCTCCATCCCCCCTCCGCCCGGCCTGGGCGTCAGCGTGGCCCCCGACTTCCACCGGCCCCAGCCGGCCGACAAGCTGGAGAAGCTGCTGGAGAAGCTGCTCACTCGCTTTCCACAGTGCAACAAGTGAGGCTCTGCTGCTTTTTGGGAGGGCAGGGGTTTGTGAGTGCGGTGGGAGCTGGGTTCAGGGGAAGGGGGGCTCCTGGTGTCAGTGGGGTCTGCGGGAAGGGAGGCACGCAGAGGTGGTGGTCTGTTATATTTCTTTTTCTTGGGCCGGGTCTCATAAGCTCTCAAAAGAAATATAATACGCCCAAGGATAGCTCAGCTGTTATTTTGGGGGCATAAAATAAGCAGGGTGACTTCTGCTGCGGCGTTAGAAACAAAGAGGTTTAATAAAAGGCAAAATAACAAACAGAAAAACCCGAGCCAGGTGCAGAGGTCTGCTCCTGGTAAGAACACCTCACAAAAGCACTTAGCTCTTTTGTTCTCTTCTTTTTCTACCTAATGGTTCAAGCGAGACTTTTTGGCTTCTATCCAATTAGCTGTCCTCAAGTTTTTGGTGAAGTCCCTAAGGTCCTGTGAGGTGGCTTTTCACCTAATCATTGAGAAAAACTTCTAGGCTTCTTTCCTTTTTTGGGGGACAAAGGCTAGTTTTGCCACTCTGTCATTAAGGAGCACACTCCTGCAGTGGTCTCCATCAGGTTTGCCCTAGCGCTGGGGATCACTGGGAGCTTTGCAGGACACCAGGGGTATCTGGGCACTGCCAGCCTGTCTCTGGGGGTTCCCTGCTCTATCCCCAGCGTTCTGGGGAGAGAAGCTCCTCAGCACGTGGCTCACCTCACTTGGAGGACAGAGGGGAAGCACAGGGCTTGTGGCTGAGGGATCCCGCTGTGTGAGGACCAGGAGCTCTTAGCAGGCTGCTGTCCCCGCAGGGCCCAGCTGACCAACATCCTGCAGCAGATCAAGACTGCCCGGAGGACCATGGCCGGCCTGACCATGGAGGAGCTGAACCAGCTGGTGGCAGCCAAGCTGGCAGAGCAGCAGGAGCGGGCAGCGGCTGGAGCTCAGGTGGGACAGCCCGGGGGCTGCTGGAGGGGGGCCTGGGGAGCAGGGAGAGCTGCCTCTGCTCCCTGGCTCCCCGCAGGGCTCGGGCCGTGCCTCAGGGCTGTCCCCTGGGCTCCCTGTCCTGCTGGCTGCAGCGTAACCAGGCAGCAGTTTTCCCTGGGGGGACTCCTGTGTCCTTTCCTCCCGGGCTGTTCTGACGTGCCTCCTCTGCCTCGCTGCAGCCTCTGGGCCGGATCAGGGCCCCCATGTTCTCTGCTCCCCTGCCTCAGATCAGCACGCCCATGTTCCTGCCCCCGGCCCAGGTCGCCTACCCAGGAGCAGCGTCACACGTAAGGCTGCTGGCTTGGCTTCCCTGGGGACTGGGGAGGGTGTCCTGAAAGGATACAGGATGAGCCCCTGCAGCTGGGAGATCTCCTCACACAGCTACCTGGGCTGCTGAGGTGGAGGGGAGGACTGGGGACACAGATCCTTTGTGTTTCACACAAACAGGGACACGCGTGATGGCTGTGGGCAGAGGGGGCTGTGGCCTCAGGCTGCAGCTGAATCTGTGATCAGAGCCCTGTGCCTGACTCCCCTGCCTGCTCCTTTCTTTCCCTCACTGCCCCTCCCAGACCCCAGCTGCCTGTAAGCTGTGTCTGATGTGCCAGAAGCTCGTGCAGCCCGGTGACCTTCACCCCATGGCCTGCTCACATGTGCTGCACAAGGAGGTGAGTGTGTTCTGCTGCTCAGGGCCTCCTCCTGCACCTTCCAGGTGACCCTTCCCGAGTCCTTGTTGTCCTGACACCTTGCCAGAAGAAGGGTACGATCAATAAACAGCTTCCCTGCCTCCTGTCATCCCATCCTTTACTCGTGGCTGGGCCAGCCTGCGTGGCCAGTGGGTGGTGGCTTTAGGAACAGGCTGCCCTTGTGTCCCTGAGCCTGTGCTGTGTCTGTGAGGGCTGGATGCTGGAGCCAGACAGTCTGGAAGGGTCTGGAACACAGGGTGAGGGGAGAGCTGTCACTGCTGCCCAGGTGTCTGGGCTGGGGATGCCAGACAGGAGCTCTTGGGACAGGAAAGTCCCCTCCTCTTGCCATGGGTCTGGCAGTGGGTCACCTGTGTGGGCAGCCCCCCATCCCAACTGCTCTCCAGCAGTGGCCCAAGGAAGTGGAAACTCATGTTGAGGAGGGCCTGATGGTCCTGCAGGGGTGACAAGGGCTCCTTCCTCACGGTGACTTGTGATGGAGGCTGCAAGGAGCAGAGGAAACCAGCCCTGAAGGGAGTGCTGTGGACAATGCTGGCACCTCTGGGCTGGCCCAGTGGCTCTTGACTAATTCTCTCTCTTCCAGTGCATCAAGTTCTGGGCACAAACCAACACGAATGACACTTGCCCCTTTTGCCCAAGCCTCAAATGACGGCTGCTGGGACAACGTGGGCCCCTGGGAGGAGTTGCTGTGAATAGACAGGATCAGTTCTAAGATTTCTACAGTTCTATATTTATACGATCATGTATACACATGTACATTTTTATTATATAGGTAATGTGTGTATAGAAAGTCTGTAAACATACAAATTCATAAATAAAGTGTGTATATTATGCAGTGATTTGCTGCAGCTCCTCATTTCTCAGTCTGCAGCCTTGCTGCCTTCTCCCAAATGAGGGTCAGCGTTTTCTGCTTGCTGGGAACTGCCTCAGCCACCTCACACCTCCCACTTGGATGCCATCAGCTCCTTTCCTGGGGCTATTCCTCATCACCTGATGCCTCACCACCCCCACATCCCTGCCAGCCATCACCTGTTTTTTCCCCCCCTTTCCAGCCAACAAGTTGCGGACGAAAAGCCAATTTTTTTGTGGTCGTTTATTTTAATGTCATAATAATTTACCGTGTTAACATTCATTGTTCTTACATAGACACTGGGTTACAGAGTACTGGAGCCTCCAGCGACAGCCCACGGTCCTGTCCCGTCCTGTCCCATCCCCTGCTGTCACCGGGCCCGGGGAGGGGGCGCAGGGACGCGGCTGCGCTGCAGCTCGGGATAAACCAACCCGTCACACAACTCCTGCGTCCCCCCCTGCTGTCCTTCCTCCCAAAGCACGGGCTGACTCACCAACCCTTTCTCCATGGATCTCGGTGGGATTGCGAGGTGCTCAGCACCGCTGAAAATCTTGCAATGACTCTCTAAAAATCGCCCCCCTGTCCCTGGCGGTCTGCGGCAGGGGCTGGGCACGGCTGGCAGCCCCTCTGCCCCGCAGGGAGGCCAGGGCAGCCCCCGGTGCTCGCCTGCCACAGGGCTGTGTTTTAAGGCAGTGGTCCACAACAGAGTCTCTGGGGTCCTGGGGGTCCTGGGCAGGCACGAGGGTGGGGGGAGAACATTGCCCTCTTGCAGGGAGTGGGGTTTGGAGCGAGGCTGGGGCCGGGGGGCTCTGTGTGAGCAGGGGCAGTGTGGGGGCTGTTGTGGCTGTGCCCCGTGCAGGGCTGGCTGCTCTCACGCTTTGCCTGTGTTTCCTGGCTCCCTCGCTGCCTTCCCAGAGAAACGTTTGGCTGCAGGGTTTGATTAACAAGCTCTAAGCTCGGTGATTGCTGTGGGTGCTCAGTCTGTCCCTGCCTGACCCGGCACTGCAGGTATCCCCTCTTTGTTCATGGAGGAGTGATGCCTTTTCCTTGTGGAATCTCCGTGTCTGAGCTCTGTCCTACCCAGGCTGGAGGCAGAGAAGCAAGGGAATATAGCACTAGCACTGCCTGCAAGGTCACGGGTGTCTGCTCTGGGGAAGGGACGGTGATCCTGCAGCACGGGGAGGAGGGGGCTGTCCTCACACACTGGAAAATCCTCTCTGAGGACAGAGGTGCCTTCTGGGCTTGTGAGCCACTGCTCTGCGTGCTCCAGCCCTGCACCCCCTCCTCAAGCCAGCTGGGACCCCCTCCCCATCACGTGCTCACACGTGGCTCAGCGTGAGCCCTGGTGCCCACAGTGGCTGAGGACTGAGCAGAAGGCTAAAAAGATTTAAAAAAAAAACCCCAAAACAAAACAGGACTGACCCCTAATGTTGGAACGGTGGCTTTCAGGGCTAGAAGTAAAAATAGAGATGTATGGATATACTGTACAGGTGAGAGGCAGCCGTGCTCTGTACACGTGGGACCGGCTCTGTACACGCTCTCAACGCGCAGCTGCGCTACCACTGACACGCTTTGTAAAAAAAAAAAAAAAACAAAACCAAAATAAATACAACCATGTGTTTACAAAAACAATAAATGCTGCAGTTCCAGCAGCTGCCGCCTGTCCCCGGCGTGCCAGGGCGTCTCACAGCCAGGCCTGGACGTGTGGAGGGAGCAGGGAGGAGCTGCTGTGCCGGCGGTGAGGTGGGGGGCTGCAGGGGGGGCCCAGGCTCCCCTATGGCTTTCGAAGGGCTGGGTGGGCTGGGGAGCAGCCGGTGCCAGGGCTGGGAACTTCACACCTGGCACTGGCTTCTGCACGGCAGCCCCTGCTGATGCTGGAAGCCAAGGGCAGGGAGTTTCCCATCCCATGTGATGTGGGGAGAGGATGGGTGCCTGCTCCTGCCTGTCCCAGGAGAGGATGGGTGCCTGCTCCTGCCTGTCCCAGGAGAGGATGGGTACCTGCTCCTGCCTGTCCCAGGAGGGTGCAGGGAGTCCTGGGGCTGGCAGCAGCGGCAGTACAGCTCAGGAAGGCAGGAAAATGCAGGGGAAATGTGACAGTGAGCGGTGTAGGGGCAGCAGGGTAGGAGGGAAAGCCCTGGCTGGGCAGCCCAGGCTGGCCCTGCAGGGCTGTTTCTGAAAAGCCCGGGGCTGGATGGCTCCAGGATGATCCCTGGAGTCTGGCTCAGTGCAGGGAGTCACAGGGGAGGCACAGCTGCAGCACAGCTCCCTACAAGAGAGCGTGGGCTGGCAGCTTCCCGGCAGGGCGAGATGGAAAGGGATGCACAGGGATGGAGGAGGACAGGCAGGGGATGGCTCATCAGCGTCACTCCATCAAGCCAGGCAAGGCTGGGTGGGAGAGCTTGGTCCTGTCCTGGTGCTGGAGCAGAGCAGCTGCCTCCAGCTCCCAGGATGGGGTTGCTGAGCTCTCCCACTGCCCGGCTGCAGTCCCAGACGAACGGAGCCCGGGCCTGGGGCTGCCCCGGCCGCTGGCCCTGACGGACACCGAGTCCCCAGGCCCCGGGCACAGGGTCTGAGCTCCCCACGCTGCTGCCACACTCCAGCCCCCGCAGCAAGGCCCCTGCCCTGCTGCCTCACCTGCGGCCCGGGGCTGCGCCCGCGCTCCGCCGTCACTTCAGCAAGGAGATGTCGTCGGCGAAGTCGTCGTGGTCCCGCCGCAGGCAGCGGAAGCAGCGCCACTGGAACACCATGAGGCACAGGGGCAGCATGAAGAGGGCGCAGATGGCCGCCATGACGTAGGCGATGGTCATCAGGGTGGACTCGTCCGTCTGCGGGATGTTGTAGCCGCAGTCCTCCATGTTGGAGTGCAGGTGGGGCCCGTCCACCGCGGCCGTCCGGAACTCGTCGTGCACTGCGGGAGGGGGAGGCGGGGTCTGGTCTCTGCACACCCACGTCCCTCCATCCCATCCCCTCCCCGCGGGCCCAGCTCACCGTGGCAGGCGCTGACGGCGAAGCCGATGCGCTTGCGGGCGCGGTCGAACACCACGTAGAAACCCTCCATGATCACGGCGCCCATGACGGTGCCGGTGGAGGACTGGGAGATGGCAAACTTGTAGCAGTCGTCCTGAGAGGTGGCCACGTCCTCCACCGGGCGCAGGTATTGCTGCAGGGGGACAGCAGCAGTCAGGGAAGGGGCACGGGAGGCAGCTGTGTCCACCCACTGCCTGCGCTGCCCTCTCCAGCCCACGCTCCCTGGGCAGGGTCTGGCCAGGCCAGCGCTCACCTGGGGCAGGATGGTGATCCGGAAGGACTGGTTGGTGGCCTCCCCCATCAGGTAGAGGGACAGGACGGGGAAGATGTGCCAGGGGGTGGTGCCGACCTGCCAGCAAACCAGCTGCTCCCCCAGCCAGAAGCCGTCTGGGAATTTCTCCGTCTACCAGAGGGAAAGGGAAGGTGAGCGGGGCCAAGCTGGGCAGGCAGCAGAGATGCCAGGCTGGGGAGGGGCAGCCACACTGCCCACAGCCCTGCCCTGGGCCGTGCCCGTGGGGAAGGGATGGGCTCCACTGACCGAAGATGCTGTTTTGATGGATTTCACTGCAGCCTCAAACACCTTCTTCGGCAGCCTGAGGTTGGTGGTCCCGCTGTCCACAATGCTCTTGTCGTAGTTGTACTGGGGGGCAGAAGGGGAGGAGTGAGCCAGGTGCAGGACCCCAGCCCACTCCCCTCCCAGCCTCCTCTGACCAATGCTGCCAGTGCCCATGGGGCAGGTCCAGCACTGCTCACCTCCTTGCAGTCCATGTTCAGGTCCTGCCCGTTGACCTCCAGCTTGACGATGATGACCTCGTAGTACCACTCCTTGCGGATGGGGGTGTACCAGATGTCACCCACGTACAGCGAGCGGTCGATGCCACCGATGATCTGCACAGCAGACAGAACGGCGCTGCCACCACGCGCTGGCAGCGCCACAAAGGAACCCCCCAGCCACCTGTGGAGGGCTCACCATGCTGCCTCCCACCGAGGCCACGGCCTCTGTGTCGTTGGGAGAGAAGCCTGTCCCGCACAGCTGCAGGGAGAAGATGTTGGGCACCCGTGTCTGCTTCACCAGGGAGTCAAAGAAGGGCTCCAGGCTGTCGTCGGGCTGGTGGGAGGAGAAAGCAGAGGCAGGACAGGGATGTGTCAGTGCTGTCCCTTCTCCAGGAGCTCTCTCAACCCCCCAGGGGACAAACAGGGACAAGGAAAAAGGCAACTGAAGCGTTTTGGTGCTGACATCCAGGACTGTCAGCCAGGACTCACCCGGGCAATCTCAGCATACGCCAGCCCCAGGATCCCCTCCCAGTTGGAGCCGTTGATGAAGAATTTGTCTGACTCCGTGATGGCAGCGATGTTGGCTCTGACAGTGACGTTGGGGCCGTGGGGGATGGTGACAAGGTCAGTGCCCAGCTCCCCTTCCCACTTGCCCTGGGTGTAGGGCACGTACACTCCCTTCCGCAGGTCGCGGTAGGTGCTGGACCTGCAAGGGCAGCAAAGGGACGAGTGAGACCTGCAGGGTTTATGTGCATCCAGCCATTCCAGAGGCCAGGTGCTACCTGGCAGGGTCTGGCCAGACCTCCAGCAAGGAGAAGCAGTGTGCCTGAGTGGCTGTGCTCTGTGTGCCCCCAGAATACTCACAGCTGTCGCTGGTAGTATCTCCGGAGGAAGGGGTGTGGTGCAGCTCCCACAGCGAAGTTACTGCTCCCTGTGTCCACCAGGATATTCAGCTGGAGAAGGAAGAAAGACAGGAAGGCTCATGAGTGCACTGGGACCCCCTTTTGTTGTGCCCAGAGAGGAGAGAAGGAGGCGGTGGAGCAGGAGGCAGCGACATCAGGGAGCTGCACAAAGAGCAAACACCATCCAGCACTGTGCAAACAGAGCGTGAGCCCTGCCTCGGGGCCGGCCTCAGCCCCCAAATCCACAGGCAGGATTCAGGAACCACTTGGCAGGTGTTTGGGGCCG